ATACTATACTATACTATACTATACATACATACATACATACATACATACATACATACATACTCTCATATGAAGTTCTACTGCATGAGATTTTATGATCTATATTGCACACATTAGAGCTTCGGAGAGAGGAGGGAGTTTAGGGAGGGAGGGAGGGAGCGGGGAGGAAGAGAGAGGGGAGAGAGTGAAAGAAAGAGGGAGAGAGTGAGAGAAAGAGGGAGAGAGAAGGGAGAGAGAGAAATGGGAAGGAGTGAGAGAGGAGGGACAAAGGTGGGAGGAAGAGAGAGAAGCAGGGAGGGAGAGAGGGGAAGAGAGAGAAGTAGGGAGGGGAGAGAGGGGAAGAGAGAGAAGTGGAAAGGAGTGAGAGAGGATGAAGAAAGGGGGGAGGAAGAGTGAGAATGTGGGGAGGAGAGAGAGAGAAAGAAGGTGAGAGAGAGAGGGGGAGAGGGAGAGCAAGGATCACAGCACCATCTCTTGGATCTTAAATTTGCAAACTACAATATTATACACTAAAGTCAGATGCTCACTAGGTTAATGCTTAAAATATCACCCAGATGATGTGTTGTCAGTAATTAATAAGATGTATTTCGTGAACCTGTATCCTTACCACAGCATGATACGTATATTTGAGTTTTATGGGTGCATTTCTATGTTTATTTATGACAGATTCCATATGCTGTGATGGTTGCCAAAATTGCAAATGTTGACTGGCGATTAGGCAACATGGCTGTTTGGCTGTCGCTGATCATTGGGCAGCCAATTGCTATACTGATGTATGTGCATGACTACTATATACTCCAATTCAGAGACAAACAAGATGCCAGTGTTTAGTGAGTTGTTTTCACCAGAAGCTGTCCATTTGTTCTTTTGGGGGTTGGGGGTGAGGGTGAGGAAATTAGTAGGTAAGTCTATGTAAATTATCCATATGGGATCTACTAGGAGGGCATCAGAAGGAGCATAGTAGGGGGTGAATGAGTAATTTACATATTAAATTATTATAGGAATGGGGTGGATCAAGGTGAATGATGTTATTCCTTGATAGTGGGTATGTTGTGTAAATGGAATCATTTGGTTACATAAATGTTTAATTACAATGGTCAATGCAAGCAAATGTTGTGCAGGTGCAACAAGCAGATTATATTCACGAACCTATTTTGATTCATAATAGATGTTGTTTAGTTTGAAGGCAGACGCATCATGTATGCTGTGCCCCACATTCCACTTCATATGGTTTATGGGCATACAAGTGATAACGTAGCTGCCAAAGAAATAGTAAACTGGATCAGTAAGCTAGTTTTAGCTAGAATTCTTTTTTGATCAGTAATAATCTATATGATTTATAATGTTATGTCGAAGTAGTATCAAGGTAGTAGTTTTTTTGTAGAATATAGGCATTGAACGTGGATCATGTGTAATTGTGGAAATCGTGGATATATTGTGTTGAAATGTTATAATTTATGGAAAGAAAACTATTTTTAATAATTTATAAATTATGTTTACATTATGAGGGCACATTTGGCTGTGACCATTTAATTTAGCTGATACCAAAAGAAAATCAAGAAATACAATACAAAGGATCTTTGGTCATACAGTCCGACCTCCTTTATCCGGCCATCCGTTATCCGGAAATCTCTATTAAGCGGCCGCGATCTCGCAGTGTATGTTCTATGTTTTTCATTCATTTCCACCTAAAAATCTCGCTCAAAGCTCGCGCGATGTACCAACCGTACATGTGTGTGCGTGTGTGCGTGTGTGTGTTGTCCGCTCGTGTCCGCTATGCCATGCTTAACGAACAACTTTTACTAGCGGAAAACTTTTTTAGTGAAACGTGCTACCGTGCTACGCACTCGCGATTGATCGAGCCCCGTACTTCAATCAAAGGCGCCGCTGCCGCCGAATACCCGAGTGTATCGATCGTTACAGTCCTAGATCTCAGCACAAAAGAAACAAACATAAACCGAGGTGGTAAAATTTCTGTTTTATTTCATTTTATTTCCATTTCATATACCTAAACCATAAAACACGACAGTTTGTTACAAATAATCATAGCAACGAGTAAATACATTATCACATGCATAAACCCTACTGAACTGCATAGAAATGCTGTTTGAGCATAACTCTCATATCCGGCCAAATCCCGACGACCCCAACGGTGCCGGTCCCGACGTGGCCGGATAAAGGAGGTCGGACTGTATATAAAAACCTCTATTTGGTCATCAGTAAAACCGGTGCAGGAAACTGCGTGTTATATGAAATAGTCCTATTAAACTAAATTACAGTAATTCCCCGTATTGCGAAAACAATATGCTCCAGAAAAAAACGTTTGTGATGTGCAATTTCTGTCAGGTGAATCATATTGTCCTATTGCATTCCATTATATAACTGTAAAAGCATTCCTATGCAAAAACATTTCGGCAAAAGAAGTAGGTAATCCCCCAGTCTAATACTGTCAAGAACAATTACAAATGCATGTAAACACTGACGAACACATATGTTGACTATTTATTGATGTGACAGGAAATGAAGTTTTTGGGTAGAAAAATCTGTTTCCTAAAAAAAAATTACACGAGCGAATTTTGTTTCGTATTGTAACTAAAGTGGTCATAAATAACAGGCGAATTTACATAATCCAAGTTATCATAACACGGGGTATTACTGTACATAGTATTCTTCTAGATGGAAAATTAAATTTAAAGGTTTAAATGTTGTTTAATTGCAGTTGTCATGTTTGCTTAATCCTTGCATGAAAATCTTCTGCTTGAGTATTACTTGTTTGTTGAGCCCTGTTTTAAAGTAATCTAATAATATTAACCAGTTGCAAGCCTTAACTTCTCTTACTGCCAAATTACTGTGTTATCGTGTATGCTGTATGAGTATAGTTATTGGCACGTTTACTAAGGTTCTGAATATGGCATGAGAATCCCTATCGCATTTGTGAATGGATGGTATTTTCATTTTGTAACTGTTACTATTATTACATTAAATTATACATAGTTGTTATGTACAACCAGATTTGTGGTTAAATCTCGTATAAATCGTACTACTTGTACGTGTATGTAATTAAGCGACTATTTATACCACGAATTTTACAAGCAGATAAATGCATACCAACAGTTCTGCATTTTTAGCTCACCTTGACATCGTCAAGATGAACTATTGCCATTGGGTCATCGTCCCCATTCACTCATTTGTGCCCTTTTTGTGGTGAGCTACAGTGTCATTGACACTTTCATTATTCCTATATTACAGTTTTAATCTCAGATCTGCCTTAGTAAGGACCACTGCCTGTATTTTTTAATGTGCTGAGTTCTAGCTTCCCCTCTCCCTCCCACGTCTTCAAGAAACCCACGTTCGTCTATACGCTTAATTGCTAGTGCTATCACTTGAAAGTCTGGTTGTCCTAATTAAATCCTAAGTAAATCCTGTGCGCAACGTAATCTAATATGTTCGTAAAGCAAACGAGTCCTAAAATGTAGCTAGCAGATGATTTTGGAATGTATTCAGATGGAATATTTGTAAATAATGATAAACGGGGTCATCTAGCTGTACCTTTAGTAAGCATTTTGTATTTTGAAATGACAAAGAATTTTACTTCATACGTTTAAAAATATTTTGAGCTAGCAAAGTATTACATGAAAGCATTGCATGCAAAATGCAAAATACAGTCAAATGAACACCAGAAAGTAGCAATAGAAATAATATCAAGATCTAAATTTATTTTATCACACAAAAATTCTTCGCACATAGTAAAATCTTTGGCTTACGAAGCTCACATCAAACCACATTTTCTGGCTGTCGTGTTATACTCTCAACAAATTTGGCACCGTTGAGCTGCTTACCTGCTCTGGATGCACCCGCAAAAGCCAAGCCAATTTCAATTCAGTGATATTTCAAACAGTTCCTAAATGTGACACAGTTCTGAACACTCATGACAGCAAATTCCTTTGCAAATTTTAGTTTTTTGTTGTTTCTTCAAGTTTGAATAGTAGTGTTAGCACCTAACACTGAGGCTCATAGGGTCTATGTCCCCCAGGGTACTGCCGGAACGTACCCTGGGTACGGTCCGGTATACCGGAACGTACCCTGGGTACTGTTCGGTATACCGGAACGTACCCTGGTCACTATTTGATATGGTTAGGGTTAGGATTAGGGTTAGGGTTAGGGAGTAGGCGTAGGCGACTCCCTATACTCGTTAGTGGAGTAGGCGAGGTACGGTCCAGCATATTAGATAGTGCCAGGGTACGTTCCGGCATATTAGATAGTGCCAGGGTACGTTCCGGTATACCGGACCGTACCCAGGGTACGTTCCGGCAGTACCCCGGGGGACATAGACCCTCTCAGCAACACTGAGTCATTATACCACAGTCATAACTCATAACTAAATAAGCAACATTCCACTTGGACAGTGAAACATTTTCTCAATTCATTCCAATACACCAGCACTTGAGCTGTTCCCACAGCAAAGTGATAGCGAATACACACGAATTTTATCAGTTAATTTATTAGGCCTACCTGTTTATCATTTATGTACCGGCACTCAATATCCACGTAAACACTACTCAAACACTCCTCAGCAAAACTGTCACTGCATGCATGCTACAGTGCACACATGTACAAGAGTTAGACGTGGATCTAATACGAAACTCGTATTTTCTGTATTTACGCACGATGGCATGCATGCGGACAGATTGTGTTATAAAGGAGTATTTCAACAGTGTTTGTGTGGAACTGTTGATGACAAATGATAACTTCACTCTACATATGTTAATAAAGCAGGTTAATTAGGGAATTTTAATTGATAGAGAAAGAATTTTATATTCAATATAACTCTAACCCCCTAGTTTCACAAACGTTGCAATTTCATGTATCAGTTATCAAAATTATACCTTTTGTATGTCTTATACATGTTATATCAGGTTGAATAGTTTAGGCAACTTTACTGAGATGTATGGGTGTGACCTTCTTGGTGTTTATTTCTCAAATTCTTTTTTGATCTGCGACAACAGTGCGGGGTCACTCAGAACTTCCAGTGTAGTGAAAGCCATTGACTTGGCTGCTACTAAGGTGTACTGCTGTGCCTCATCTGTACCTGCCTGCTCTCTGAACACCTAAAAACACATTACAGTATAATCAACAATACATCCAGCAAACAAACGCTTCAGTCCACCACATTTATATGATGGTTGTAGACTATTACAAAGGCTGGATCAAATGTCATAAACGTACGTGCATAAATGTTAAAGGCAGCTTTGTTAATGCATAATTGGCATTTTTATAAACGTTTCCATACTACTGTTACTTTGACAGTCATTACTCTTGATAGATGGACACTTGATATCATTAACTGCTGTCACATGATCACTTCTCAATTTATTTCTCTACTTGTACAATATGTCACCATTTTATACTAAGTATAACTTATCGTATATTACCTTAGTATGAATTTGGGAGTTAGTGCCAATGTAGAACGTTGGGTGGATAGATGGCACCACATGTGACACGTTTCCCATATCAGTGGAGCCTCCCGGCAGAGGATTTGGGGCAATTGGAAACTCAATACCTAGCAATAATGAAATCAGCAAGAAACCGCAATCAAATACAGCCAGTAAATACATTCACGGCATTTGGTAATAAGAGCCGCAGAGCGTCTGGGCTCATCTGAGGTCTGTTGCTACGGTTATAAACGTAACATTTAAGTTGTGCGTAGTGACACCTTTGTTAGGCGCAGATATGCAGATACGCAGTTGCGTACACATCATTTCAGCAACCTTCTGCATTCTGTATAACTCCCAAATCCCATTGGTTGATACAAATCGCGTGCCTGAAACTAATGTTTTATGGTGCATTGTGACCCTAACCCTATTAAAACAAAAACAAAACAAGGTAGGCCAGTGATTAGTGGACCGAATAAGCTCAAGAACGTACACATTTGCGTCTATATTGGTGCCAAAATTTGATAAGAAAATTAAGTCTGGGAAATCCACAGCCTCACTCCTGGGTAATTATTTGAGTGCTAGTGACTATTCCAGCTATTCATAATGTACACTACAGAATCTCATATATAACTCATCTCATTATCTCCTAAGTAAGCATTGTTCAAGTAAGAGTTATGTGTGGAATTTCACTGTAAAATGGGAGCGTTCCACAACCACAGGTACTCGCCAATGCAGTTGAGAAACAAATCAATGTTTAACCCTCCTACAGGCTGCAATAGAGAGCTGCCACCTGTACCTAATTAACGCAGGCAAAAACTACACCATACTATCACCACCACATGCACTGGCAGTGGCCACTGGCAGTGGCATATTAACACACTGACAGTACAGAATGCCATAGAAATTATACGATTTAAGGAGCATAAACCTTCTTCAAGCAAATTTAGCTTTTGAAATTTCACTGTGACATTGTAGCCTCATACATCCAGGCATGTATAGATTCTACTAGCAAACCCAGCAGTCAAATTCTTTCTAACACAGTAACAGTTAACAAATCCATGTTTAAATCCCTCCTCTTGAGGGTCAAAAGGTTATCAGACACTTACTCTTCGCACGTCAGTGGAAAGCACATTTCATGGTCCTTTCAATAAAGCCATAAAAATGGTAGGTCACCGCTGAAACAAAAAAGTTTTTCAATTGCTCCGTCAGACCATGTCCTCAGAAAATGTCTAAAATCTGCCCTGTGCCCATTGACCTTTGACCTGTGACCTCCAATTTCGGCACAGTGATGGCTTTTCCTACCATGATGCTATACACCGACTATCACAAGCCTAGGTCGAGCCGTTTAGATTTGTGCCGCAATTCTGCATTTCCTCCCTATACCTTAAGTTAAGGAGTGAATGTTCCCCCTTCTTTTACACCTCTTGACCTTTGACCTTTGACCCCCCGGTTTGGCCTTTCCACTTGTTTTTGGCTTTCCCCCCCATGTGCCGAATATCGTGACCGTACGTCGAGCGGTTAAGATTTGTGCCCAACTGTTGACGGACGGACGGACGGACGATCATGCGATTCTACAAGCTGCATCTGACTATGTCAGATGAGCTAATAAGCTAACGAGTAATAAGAGAAAGTGGCGATCTGAAGCTCGAAAGGTGCTAGAAAATATTTTCGTTTCTAACCATTCCACTGGAAAAGAACATTTGCCTTTTTCTGGCAGAAGACCTGCTTGTCCTGAAAAAGTGGTCGTAGTTTAATTTCGACCCCTGCCCCTACGAGTGTTAATTAAAAGTATTACTAACCTTGTTCACGCGCATACTTTTCGTAAAGCAGACCCATTGTGTGATTGTGCTTAACTGCTGCATAAGGGTTTGGAGCATACTGAAACTCAGTATCGCAACCTGTTGTATAAATGCTGTATTAATACCATTAATGTAGTATACAGGGTTATTCAATTTGGTATAATAATTAATTTAGTGGCAACAAATGCGGGAAGCTAAAACTATATATTACCTGTTAAACTGACGATGGAAATTTTTTCGATCATAAAACGTCATAATAAATGGACAAATTTATCATCCAGTCATCATTATCAGTGCATCAGTATCATCATAATACGTTTACGTCATAATAAAAAGAACAAGTTTAATATTACACAGTACAAACCTGTCATTTTGCCTGCTCCCACTATGCAGTGACTGACTCTCTCCAAAAGAAGTTTCAATTCTTCTTGTTCTGTGGCACGCACGTATATCTGTACCTCTGCTTCTGCAGGGATGATATTTGGCCGCACTCCTCCTTTTGTGATGACAGCTGTAAATGTACAGAACTTAAATAAACCTTTACATGCGTCAAGAACTATCATGGTAACTACATTGCACTAAAATTGTTTTTGACAGACCAAAATGAAAAGCAGACATGCAGAAGGGCATGGGCAATGTAGGACAAATGCAGGAATTTTAATGGCATTCCATGACAACTTTGTGTTTGAGTAATTTTCTTGTAACTGTTTTTGTACAATCAGTAAAATTACACAATGAACATGTAAAGAACAATAAATTTGATTATACAGTCTGTCAGATACAAGTTTCAGTTTGCATAATTCCAGTGCAGTTTGGAGTGACCTCCCAAAAAGATGTCCCGTCAATCAAAATACAAGGCATGGGAAAGAAAAGAGGTCACAGACTGTTTGATAGATGGCTAGCACACACAATTAGTTCATTTCAAACAAACCATATATAAGCCAATATGATATATATTCAAAACCCTAGTATGCACGAGTCTATTTTGAGGCGATTGAGGTTTTGCACCTACCATGAATCCTGCAGCTTGGCTTCATCTGCTGCCGGAGCATAGAAAGCCCATTGTAGCAAGCCACAGCAGCATCAAGCGCATTAATTCCATCCCATGGTGATGCGGCTGCGTGAGCTGCCTTTCCTGTGTAAGTGACGATCAGCTGCATACACAACGATGCAGGGTTAGACTTCTAATTACGTGCATCAGTATCATCAATGCTATACATACAGGAAAATTAACTTTTAAAATGTGAAATATATCAATACGAAGCAACACAATAGGAACACTACTACCATCAATATTATAGTCATTAATTCCATTATTGAGACACTCAAAGATTATATTAACATCAATGACGATAGCTTGATCAGTGTGAATAATTTTAGTAATTACAATGATAATTCTCATCTCATAATTAGCATGAAACATGAATTACCTTTATAAAAAAAGTACTGTTAAAAGGTATGTTAACAGAATATATATATATGTCAGCACACAAGAAATCTATCTATGCTAGTTTGATTGTATCAGGGGTTATAATAATGACAATTTGTTATTATTAGCTTGTTAGCTTATTAGCTTGTTAGCTTATTAGGTTGTATCCAACTTGTTAGTTTGTTTAGGCACAAGTAAACATGTTAAGAATAACCCTTACCCTTTGAATCCCGAGCCAGCTAATATTGACATCATTACGAGCAAACGGGTGTACCATCATAGATAAATCAACATCAGAAAAAGCAGCAGCATTTATCAGCATTACTTTGCCTCCCCCACCCTCCTCTGCTGGAGTGCCCATCACTGTCAACTGGCAAACAAAACAGTAATAGTGAGAATTATGTACTATTTGTGTTAACATACCACAAATGTCGGTGTTTGTTAATAAATTCTAGCCAAACGACTGTGCAGCTATGATGTACCTACAAAGAGGAAGGTATAATGATGTTAGTATTACATGCAGATGCAACAAGTGACTCTTTGTATGCTTCAGTGTTGGGCTGATTACTGATCCAAAAATAAAACTGGTAAAGGAATGGATAGTAAAATGCCCAATTTGAAGCGAATACATAGGTACTTGTGCCTATTAACTCTAGTTAGCACCATGAGATTCAATATTATATGCACAATGCAGTGCACACACACATAAAACAACAGCAAATTTACATGCCTCTTGAAATCCAAGGTAAACCTGAAATGTTCTATTGAAAGCATATGGGTGGACCATCATGGCAACTTCTATGTTTCCAAACACACCTTTGTCAACGAATGAAACCTTTGCTCCTCCACCCTCCTCTGCTGGTGTGCCAAGCACAGTGAGCTGTAATTTTAAATCACTAGCAACTCAAGTATTACATCTAACAACGTAAAAAGCCAAATCTTCCTCTTTGTTTTACACTATTTGACAGGGTGACTTGGGGGGCATACACGCCCTGGGGGTGGTCACTGCTAGTGTTTTCCGTCCTCAGTGGTTTTATCATTTACATTCACTGGAGTGGACCTTTCTGCTAAGTACTAGTGTTTCCCTGACATTGACACGAGCGAGGCGGGCCGCCTCGCTCAAATTCTCAGCCGCCACACAGAAATTTGTTCAAAACACCGCCTCGCTGACGAAAATCACCGTTCTTCCATACAATAGTGCTTAGAATGCACCAAAATAGCTTAGAATGCACCAAATTGCATCATTTTTTCAAAATTTCTCGTTCAACTTTTGGTTAGCGAGTTGATCAAGTTTTTTCCACTCAGCCACTCCGATAATAGCAATCAGGGAGTGTGTCCCTCCAACCAGGGGGAGAGCGCATTTTTGCTATCGACGCCACACTGGCGCGAAGTAATACATGCAAAAATGCGTATCCACGTCGCCCCACACACACTGCAGGTAAAATATTGAAACGTTTGCCGACTTGTGGTCGATAATATAATAACTTTGAACATCTGATAGAAAGGTTGATAGAAGTATTAGAACGTTGAAAAACCTAACAACTCGTCGACTTTTCCATAGTGTAAACCCAGCTTAAAAGTGAACCTATTGGCAATACTTCCCATTTGATTATTAATAGCTAGAGTAATCATTAAGTAACAAGCAAATCTAATATCAACCTCATCCATAATATAAATTATATCATCTAGGTCTATATTATGACACTTCTGATGATATCTGTCAGATGCCCGCCAGGCTGTTGGACTTCTTGCGATTCATCTATACTGTTGCTATCACGTGCCTAGACGTTAAAGAAAGAACCCCTGACCCTGGGAAATATTAAGCACTATAGATTCAGTATGGCCCAACTGCATAGAATCCACACCGCGAGAAGTATAAGGTATAAGAACAAGCCACATGTACAGATCGGACAAAACAAAGCTGCAAGAATCATCGCCAACACCTTTAGGCAATATCAGGAACACATAATATAACACATTATATATACACATTTTATATCATGTTTTTCTGTGTTTATTATTATACATTCCTGGCAATACGCTATAACTTATAAGCCCTTTGCTTCACTGCAAGGCAATACAGGAAGATATGAATATACCTGCGGCACACAAGTGCACCTATGTAAATATAGGTGCATGTGACTGTGAGATGATGTTAGCAAGTTGGGAATATTATATATTTAAATAAATAGATCCTAACGCTACTGGTAGTAATAAAAGTTGTTATCATTTCACCCTATCTTTAGAGAATTTGACCTAGATTCGCCTGCATGCATGGCAAACAGTTATGGTGCTTTGTTGGTCACAATTTCAAATGTGTGACGAATAGGTTACATCAAAAGAGTATGTTAATTCATCATCATAACCTTGTAATGGGGTAACCCTTCCGAGTCCAAGCGACTATAACAGATGGACTTCAATGATGATTATATCGTTAGATCAACTCTGTGAAAAGCAGCAGGGAATTAGGCTTTGATCAATATAACGGGAGTGAGTTTCAGTAAGGCATTACTGAAACATAGAAACCAAATATGAATCAGTTCATTCAAATGTGAGACATGGTGGAAGCAATGATCAGAGGCTGATGACTGAATATGCCGAGGTGATGTCATCAATGATCAAGCATGATAGCATGGATAGATGGCTCTAATAGCAAAAGCAGTTCACTCCTTTGTTAACAGTCAACAAATCCATGTTTAACCCTCCTCTTGAGGGTCAAAAGGTTATCCGACACTTACTCTTCGCATGTCAGCAGAAGGGACATTTCATGGTCCTTTCAATAAAGCCATAAAAATGCTAGGGGTGACCTAGCTGAAACAAAAAAGTTTTTCAATCGCTCCGTCACACCATGTCCTCAGAAAATGTCTAAAATCTGCCCAGTGCCCCATTGACCTTTGACCTGTGACCTCCAATTTCGGCACAGTGATGGCTTTTCCTACCATGATGCTACTATACACCTACTATCACAAGCCTAGGTCGAGCCGTTTAGATTTGTGCCGCAATTCTGCATTTCCTCCCTATACCTTAAGTTAAGGAGGGAATGTTCCCCCTTCTTTTACACCTCTTGACCTTTGACCCTTAACCTCCAAATTTGTCATTCTGAGTCCTTTTAGTTTTCGGATTACCCCTCCACGTCCCGAATATCGTGACCGTACGTCGAGCGGTTAAGATTTGTGCCCAACTGTTGACAGACGCACCGACAGACGGACGCACGAACGGACGCACGGACGATCATGCGATTCTACAAGCTGCATCTGACTATGTCAGATGAGCTAATAATTGATAAACACTATGAATAGTTGCAGGCCAAGCACAGAACCCTAGCATATGCCTGATGTAAGCCCGGTTTAAGCACAAGTAATAACTATAACTAGACAAAAATCAATACACACTGCATATAAAAGATATAACCTCTCAACGGATTAAATGTTGTACTTGATGGCTTGAGAAGACAGTTATGAAAGCATGATGTACTGATATATGAATGGGCTGTTGGGCAATGTCTTAGCATGGGCCCCACACGCGCACAAGTCAATTCGATCGACCCACGCACCAACTCGACTCGTGGGTAAAAATCACCCACCTGGAGACGACTAACTCACATGTACTAACTAACATGCAAACATTTCGACGCTGGAGCATGTGAAACACTAGATGCAATAATGTAACCCAACAAGAGTAGGGGGGTTACATTACTACTCTTGTTGGGTTAAATTATTGTATCTAGCGAAACACCTCACGAGTTAGCCAGCGAGTCAATCTGGCCAATTTCCAGGCGGGTGATTTCGACCCACGAGCCGAGCTGGACGACCTCTAGACAAATAAACTCGACACATGGGTTGGGTTGCCGGCGAGTCAATTTGTCTACGAACCAACTCCATCTACGCCGCATTTTCTGTGGAAGTGTCACTGTCAGTGCTTAAAATTATAATGCTAAGTAATCATGCTATAGTAAACTAGTATGGACAAAAATGCGTTAACGTGGGCATGCAGGTTGTTAGATACAATAATGTAACCCAAACCCAAGAGGATAGGTTTCCTATCCTCTTGGGTTTGGGTTACATTATTGTATCTAGCAGGTTGTGTGCATGATGTAACACACTAACCGGTCTGTAACTGCCCATTTCATTTGTTATACAGTAATACAGTATAGACTAAACCGACCAGGCTCTCCGACTGTTACACGGCGGAGGATGCCTCTTGCCAACGTAGAAGCGAGAAGGGAACTTGTGGCTAATAATAATACTAAAATACTAGTAATATTAAATATAGTCTATAGATCATGATACACGCACAGTCATACTACCTTTCCGTGAACGTGGTTGGCTTCTAAAGCCGATTTAACGGCAATTGACGCAGCAATCCCTGCTTCACAAATGAGGTTGTGACCACATGCATGCCCAATCTCTGGCAATGCATCATATTCACATATTATGCAAATATTTGGCCCATCGCCGTTTGTAAATTCAGCGCGAAAGGCCGTCGGCATGTGGTAAGCCCGTTCCACCTTGAATCCGCGTTGTTCTAGAAAATCTGTCGCAAGCTTGTGGGCTCGGATTTCTTCGAATCCAAGTTCTGGGTTATTCCATAATTCTAAACTTAAAGCCTTTAAGTTCTCGCGTTCTGCGTCTATGCATTGTGATGCGACTTTGATTCCTTCTTTCAGAGACATTTCAAGTTATTCTGTTTCGTAATAATGACACGACACCACTGATCTGTATAATAAAACTTATCCGTTATATAGAGATCAGTGCACGACACGCCTTCCAGTGCTTCCCCATCAGCTGGTGACGGACCTGTGGCGCCATCTATCGTTAATCTTACGTTAGACCATACGCTTTAGTGATTTGGCTGTGTGATTTCGCTTGTTTTGATGGCTGATATAAATTAAATGGTTTGTAAATTGGAAGCTGGTATAATTGCAATATCGTAAGATTAATTACAATGTGTTATATGATTCACAGATAACGACCTGTTTCGTTGTTATCGTGTTGGTAATAATGTCGCAAGACAGTCGGTATAAAAGATTTGTTGCAATAGTGAGCCGATTTATACAACGATTTGTAAATTGTACAGACATAGGTCGTAGGTCACACCGGCGCAAATCCACTTTAGGCACCTTAGCCTTAGGTATCACGAAGTGATGCACAGATTTCTGTGTATCTGATGCACAGACTTTCCGTATATCAAGGAATGATGCAAAAACCTTAACCCTAACCCTATGTCATAAAGGATAATTAACCTTAGGTATCACGAAGTTTGTTAGGGTTAGGGTTTTTGCATCATTCCTTGATATACGGAAAGTCTGTGCATCAGTTGGTGATACACAGAAATCTGTGCATCACTTCGTGATACCTAAGGTGCCTAAAGTGGATTTGCACCGGTCACGCCTAGATACAATAATGTAACCCAACTAGAGTAGGGTTACAACGCGAGCCTATTCTTTTCTTTGGCGGAGCCTCTGAGCGATTCACTCAGGGCGGTTTTGTGGTGCGTTTTTCGAGACTAGAACTTCCAAACTGGGTTTATTCTAAACACGAACCTTTCTCTGCTATCCTGGAACTTACTATGTATCGCAATACTCTGTAGTGTATGTATTAAACTAATGTAACCTGTTACAAAATTTCGAAGCGACGAGCGGCGATATTTCAAGCACCATTTCTGTGTACCTGTGACGTACGCATTCCCAATGCGCATAGCATTCGGCTAACTTTGGCTCCAAGATCGAATGCATCATGGGATGCCTGCTGCCAGTCATGACATCACCAGAGCCAGCATGTCTGGCAACACAGCTGCCGAAGTTAGCCGAATGCTATGCGCATTGGGAATGCGTATGTCACAGGTCAACAGAAATGGCGCTCGAAATATCGCCGCTCGTCGCTTCGAAATTTTGTAACAGGTTATATTAGTTTAATACAGAGTATTGTGATACATAATAAGTTCCAGGATAGCGGCGAAAGGTTCGTGTTTAGAATAAACCCAGTTTTGAAGTTCTAGTCTCGAAAAACGCACCACAAAACCGCCCTGAGTGAATAACTCAGGGGCTCCTCCAAAGAAAAGAATAGGCTTGCGTTGTAACCCTACTCTAGTTGGGTTACATTATTGTATCTGAGGTGTACCGTACGCATTATTCTTCACGCACTTGGGTCCTAAATCGGTCCAACTGCGGTCAGTGAGTATATTTAGCGCTAAGTACTACTACCAGTCCTGCCAGTGGGGATTGGATCCCTGGATCAGTAGGGAGTAGAGAACGACATTAATTTAGTCAACTCTGTGTGATGGGCTGTACTAAGTTGTGTGTGGTCATTGTACTTGTAGTAGTGGAGTACTCAGTAGAGTGATGGCATACTTGTTGGCATACCCTAGTCTGCTATATACTTAGCTGATGGTAGTAAGGTAATTATATAACGCAATTCTAAAGAATTGTTGGTATGCTACTTTCCCATAATATGCTGTAGAGTAGTGCCAGTGGCTTTGTCATTCACACTGGAGATTTAATACTAGTAGTAGTACTGTACCAATGCGATACCGAATACGGATCAGAACGGTTCGCGAAAAGGAGATTCCAAATCCTGACATCATAGCGAGGTGCATTCTGGGTATTTTCAACGAGATCTTTACGAGAAGACCATGTGATTTCATCATGTGACTAATCCCAAACTGAACAGAACCGTGTTCGTTGACACACCGCCAAACAGAACTGAATCGAACCTTAAGCGAACTGCTCAATCTACCTACGTATGTGGACTGAAAATAATGTGCATTGATGCGTATTACAACCGTATCTGGTTTGTACTTAACCACGTGGAAGCGAATCAATGCGCATTGAAAGTTCGGTGTGTCAATGGTATTATTAATATGTAATGTAATTATTATATATAAAAACATGAAAACAGATTCACAGATATGCACAGACAAGTACACTGCAGACATATTGTCTAGATGCATTGTCTGGTTCGTTTGATACAATCAGGAGTAAGATAATATAGGATAATATCCTATATTATCTTACTCCTGATACAATGTATACACATCCCGATTTTGACGATTTTTTTTTACTATCCCAGCGGGATAACCAAGCATTGAAATCTGGTATCCAACACAAGAATCTACTATCGCGCGGATATCAGGATACCGCTAAATTTCGACCCCTGTGTGGAGATATCTGTTATGTTGAATGTTTGTTTTGCTTTAAGTACATATAATGTATTGCCTACAGATTTATACAGGGATACAATTTGTAAAAAAAAGAATGGGAAAGATCAATAAAAATTTTTTAGTCTGCCCCTTTTTGGCGGGTCGGTCGGGTGAGGGCAAACAAACAATATTTTTATTATGGCCCTAGCATTCGTCCCAGTATGCATAAATGTATAGAAACTTGGAGTACAATTTACTGTAGTATTCGTCAACGTATGAGTAACATTAGTGCTTTCACTTTGTCACTCATTTCTGAGAAACCACCCGTGACCTAAATAAAGCTACTTGATCATTTCCGTAACCACCGATTGGATTAGTGAGTATAGAGTAAGCCCGTTTTTCATTGGATTACAAGGCATGAGCAGCCAATCAGAATACAGTTTACAGTTCTGAATATCAGACAGGCTGACATTCACAACGTTGCAGCCGTGATCATAAACCACGTGGCCGACTTTTGACGAATGACAGGCACAACACCAAACTCCACGACAGATGGCGCTCTCGCTCTGGCTCAATTCTACCACTGCCACAAGCTGATTTCCGTAAGAATTTCTTACGCTTTTTTACTATAAGTTTTACAGCGACCCCGTTACTCCTGTCCTATGTAATACGGTGTGTACTTATAAAAGCTATTAAAAATCCTACCATTGTTTTATGAGAAATTTGCGCCCATTTACTACTACTTTCAAATCATTTACGCTGTTTACTAAACTAAGTTCATGTATTTATAATGAATTCTGGGATGATTGCCAATATACCTAATCTCGAACATTGTCTTTGATACATTTGTGCGTATTCAACTTAAAACATCTAAATTTGTCCACCAACAAACATGCAAATCATAGAAATTTCCTAATGTTTTGTCGACGGCGACTTTCGCGGCGTTGGATTGCCATTGCTGGATTTCCCGGAGCTCCGCCCACTTTAAAATATAGTGCTAGCATTGTGGCAGTGGTATTATCCTGAGTGTGGGAAGGGCACTGCATGCAGTTTGGCACAACACAATCAATAATATGGGGTGTTGGTAGTAGATGGCTTACTCTGTGTGTGTGTGTGTTGTGTGTGTGTGTGTGTGTGTGTNCCGCCACGCCCCACCACATACGCTCATGGCTCGACCGCATATCCATGATAACATGTTAAGTATAGCGAAGTTATTAAAGTTACACAGCTGTATCTTTATTACTGTACTACCAGTAGGTATAGCAAAGCCATTCATAGATTTTAGATCTGTATTAGCAGTATCCTAGAATATGCTCTTGAGCGCGAACGCGGTGGCAGGAGAGAGCGCACTTGATTCGGTTGCCAGTGAGTTTATCAGAAGAATACTGGCTACAGTACACGTCAGTGAGCGCTGTCGCTCTGCGGCACTTGTTTGGTATCTGTAATTCCGTATTTGAACTCTTCCATCTTAAGTTGGCCTAGAATTTAAAACATTTTCTACTGCAATCTGCAGTGTTGATCTAGAAATTTAATCAACCTTGACTCTCTCCTATATTACAATACCATGCACTTTGAAGATTAATATTCGTGAGGTTATTCTCTATACGTATCTATGCTGTGATCTGTTTCACCGGGCAAGACTGGAGAGGTATGCTAATCAGATAATTTTACTTCCACAGCCCAGAAGAACAAGAAGCTTCGGCGGGGAGTGAGAGAAGTCCAGAAGTTTGTGCGAAAAGGAGAACGAGGGTAACAGCATGATATATTTGTTGTAGTTCGGTCGATTGCTATAGCGAGGTGTAAATTTTCGTGCACGCCGCCAACGGCTGTGCCTTGTTGCGACCTACTGCTGTCGTCACCCTCCTTAATTGCTGTAATTTCCCTTACGTTCTGTGGCTGCCCTCCTTACTTGCCATAGTTGTCCTTATTTGCCATAGTTGCCCTCCTTACTTGCCATAGTTGTCCTTATTTGCCATAGTTGCTCTCCTTACTTGCCATAGTTGCCCTCCTTGCTTGCCATAGTTGCCCTCCTCACTTGTCTTACTGTGGTTCTCCTGCTTACTTACCGTGGTTGACTTCCTTACTTGCTGCAGTTTCCTCTGAATGTCTTGTTGACATATATTTGGGTGTAAAATGCTACTAACTTGCTGTTTATTATCACTTGCACCGGGCAAGGCTGACTATCAGAGCCAAGTTTGTGCTATGTCGGCTCTGCAACACTTCCTCGCTGAGCATTGTCTTTAAAATCTCATATAGCAATACTGATTTGCTTGAGCTGCCTGTCAATCACACCAGGCAGATAGGTCAAGTAAGCCGAGTCCCCGGATTTCTAATCTTGCACATGAGTAGAATTAGTAAGCACTTGAGGCTTTCATCGCACACTGCGTTTCCATGCAGTCGTGCATCGCTGTCAGTGCTAGAGCAACGTGGAGGATATCCAATATGCATGCGTGCGTGCTGTCACTCTGCATTATTTCACCCCTCCCACATGTGCACAGCTTTCTTGCGTCACGACTAGGAGAAGTCTCGCGGTCGCGTTTTGCTTTCAAGGTCAATCAAAGTTATAGCTTCACTGCGTGAAATTCCACGTGAAAAATTGCTGCCGTTCGTTTTGTTGTCTATCATTCAACATATTTTGCATGCGGGCGTGCGTGAGTGAGTGAGTGAGTGAGTGTGTTTGTTGTGGATTAGACACTCGCGAGTCCCTTAGCTGCACGGTCTTTCACATCGCCGTGTACGAATGTTTACAGGTTGGTGATATTTGCTGGTGACACGCTCCCGATAGACGTGCTCTGTCACATGCCGTTGGTTTGTGAGGAGGCGGGCATTCCCTACTGCTACGTGCCGTCTAAGGAGGTGAGTGAAAATCACGCGAGCTGCTGACTCCGTACCCCGCGAGGAGTGTTAGTACGATCGTTATTACGCCGGCTTTATCTGACGACAAACAGATTTGAGCGAATCTCAATAATAGTAACATTAATTCAGCTTTGGCAAGCCATCTTTCAACGTGCAATTTTAACGCGGCCTAGTGCCGTGAGTGCCCTGCCTGGTGTGCTTCTGTTCCATCCCCATTAATTTCACGTAGTGTATGTATCCCTCTCTAAAAGGTAAGTGGCCTGGATAACTAGGCTTCCTTGTTTGAAAAACCGAGGGGTGTTATAAACAGTCTTCCTTAATCTGATTCACACTCCTAGACATAGTTACTACTAAGTATAAAAATACTTAAATAATTATATGAAATAATCAATAGTACATGAAATACTGATTGAAAAACTAATCATCAACATCAAATAAACTAGCTAGAAAGGAATTGCCTGCATTATCTTCAACATCAATTGGGATTTATGGAGTATTCTACTGCCTGTTAATAACACTGTCACAAAACCTGCTGAAACATCAACAGCCATTTTGCCGGTTACTGCGCCACATGCCAGTGAGTGAGTCAACAAATGCGTTGTCCTGACTACTTCCTAACCAATTAAAAGGCCTGTTAAAACTGTTAAACGTATCTGTGTTTTGTTTTGTAACCAACTTTCTGTTTATTTCCTGGCTGATTTTCACTGTAAAATGTAAACAAATTAGCTAAAATATAAAGTTGGTTATCTTAAATGATGTTGATAAAATGAAATAAAAGCTAGGAATGCAAAAAACAGTGCTCCTAACTTATGCTTGGGAGCTCTGTGATGTGTGATCGTGTTCCCTAAAAGGAAATGCTGGGATACCCCTCCTTGGAAGAGGATTGTTTGCCAAAAATCTTGCTATCCTAAAACTTACACTTATATTTATATCCAAGGCAACATGTAAAAAAGCCTTGCTCTTTTAACAATAGCCCCCTGGGTGTAGTTTTGCATGGTTTGCATTGCCTACTTTTCCCTCTCTCTCACTTTACTGAATCTCGTGCACTACACGCGTCGTCTACAGGCATTCCGAGTTACTCGCACGGGCGACGAGTTTATGCTTAAACTGCGCGCGCATTCGCGTTAACTTCCATTATAAACAACCATGCTTGCAGCATACTCTATCAGTACGGGTAACTTCGATCAGATTTTCGGTAAATTTGACTCTTATACTTGGAATGTTTCATTGTGAATATTAAATATGATACTAGATGTCGACTGACCAAAAATCTATCTACTTTCGCTTTATTTCTTCGCTATTTGCAATGGTTTAATGATGTTTTATTTGATGAAAGTGGAGTACTGTAAAGTATTGATAAGTCCGACGGACTTTCTGCTTGGAAATTTCGAAAGTCCGAGCATGAAATCGGCAGGTCCCAGACCTCGGCCTTGCCCTATTTTCAGCCCCTGCTTGCCCTACACTCGAAAAAAAAGAGCATGACGCCCCTTTTTTTCACGCGCCTCGTTACCTGTAACGTTTCAGGATCTGGGAGCGGCCGGCGGCTCGAAGCGGCCGACGTGCATGGTGATGGTGAACAAACACGACGACTACACGGACGCCTGGGATGAATGCTCCAACGAACTGAAGGCACTGCCGTCGTCCATCGAGCTGTGATGTCACCCGCGACCCCTCCGCGACCCCTGACCCGCCAGCATCGTGACATCGCCTGTGACCCCGCCAGCATCGTGACCCCGCTGTGACCCCGTGACCCTGCCCGGTTGGTTCGACTTCCGTTGTCGTGGGCCGTGGTGAGCTAGGATGCTGGCGTTTCTTCGGTGTCACTGCGCAGCTTTATATAATTAGACGCGTCCCAGCACCCAGTGTTTCTCGAATGTCGCGCAAGTCATGATGGTGCAGTGATGAATTGCGATGCAGCGGCGCAATCTTCAGGTACATAGCGTGTTGGTAGATTGAAATAATGCAAGGATAAGTTGATGGTGCGATGGTATTATATATGCAGTGGTGTGCGATGGTAAATTGCGGCGGCGCCGTGGTAAATTGTGGCAGCGAAACGGTAAATTGCGACGGTTGCATGTGCTGTGTTGCGTGCGTGTTGACTCGACGTTGTAAACGTTTGCGCACATATTTTTGCGCTCGCGAATTGTAAAACGACTGAATCTACATAGGCGAGTCGTGTTAGCCATGCTGGCCTTGTTTACAGAGTAGCGATGTTTGTGGAGCCCAGTTGCAGATGCACTGCCATCGGCCACGCTGCTCACATCGTATGCAAGTTAACGTTGCATTGCTATTGTGCATAGCCATAGAGCAAATGCATGCTTAAGCTGGTGGTTGAGACACACACACGCACGCTCCTACGCACGCATGTAGACATGTATCCACACACTCACGCGTGCGCACACGCACACACAAACGAGTTTTTTTTATCCGAATGCTGGTAGACTTGCTACCGACTACTTTAGGCACTCGTAATGTCCACGAAACTCTCATCATGAATCACACAGCCACTGCGTTGCGTGTGTTTACCATTCAACGAGCATTGATGTACACGCATGCACGCACGCATGCACGCGTGTAATTTTTGTACCAGAAGAAGTTGAGTGTTGTTCTACTCACGAATGTCCCCGGAATCTATAATTCGAATCAAAATCTAGGAATCGGAATTCGGGGGGCTAGACTCATGCACATGCCCTCGTCTTTATAGTAGCATTAAGACCGTTGATTCTGCATATAGATGAAACGTGAAATATATGTACCAACTAGTAAAACGCAGTGAATGTATTATTATCCAGTTATTATGTTCGTGTCGTGTACGTGTACTGTTGTGCCGCATCTGCATAAGCCTGCAGTAAAAGAAAGTCGGTGGTGTCCGGGAAAGATCCTACTGTACTTGTATTTGGAACCTTTGTAAATATTACAGCCAATATTCAGCGTGAACTGCAGTCTGTTTCCGTGTCGATTGCATTTCTCTCTGCCGCTTCTCTACCGCTTTACACATATAGATAGACTAGCTGGTCTATTTTTTGTAAGTCGCAGTGTTTTTGTGAGTGATGTGGGAATAATGTTTTTCTCACTCCCGGGGGAAATTACGTCTAATTGTAGCCGAATCTTCGAATCTTAGCCGTGAAAATATTTGTGATCGCGATGTGTCACACGAAGGTTTAAAAAATCCGAATTGAAAGTGAAATTAACGCAAAGAATGTTTAATTACACGAATTTTGAGACATACACTGTATATAAACTCAGCTGGAATTCATATTAAAGTGCAAAAGTTGTATCATTTCTATGTTTTATCTTGTCTAGCTTGTGTATATCCAATGATACCTATAGTGCGGTAAACCGAACGAGATGTAATGGTTTTATAATGTGAGCAGGCAAGTAATTGAACATAATAAAGGTGAAACAAATTGAGTCCGTTTCGGTGTTTTATGTATCGGCCGGTCAGTGTGTGGCGGTAACAGTGGAAGTGATGTGCCGTTGGTTTTTACAGAGTATACGCCATTCCATATCCCCCCCCGGCTGTATTAAAACCCAAATCTTATGTTTAACCTGACTGTACACCCAGTTATGGACAACACGCTTCATCTGTCACCCGACTTCTTGCCCAATTGAAATTATACGCTACGGCTTCAGCTTCTGTCGTTATACCCATTCAGATCTGTGTGTTAAGTGTCTACTCTTCAATAATGTTCACTAATATATTGTATTAATGCGGGGACAAATAATTAAAGACCGTGGAAATATTCCTGCATTTGTTAGGGATGATGTTTTTAAGGCGTATGCATGTACATCAAGAGTACCATGATAGAAAATTTCTATCATGGTACTCTTGGTGTATATATACATACCGCGCACGCATGAACGCGGACCTAAATTTCATTATAATTATTATACTATCAGCAGTGAATAATAGAGATTTTTATTATTCACTCCTGATAGGCCTACTATGAAGGGAACGATGTGCCGCGTAACATGTCTATCTCTCTGTAACGCGTGTCATCATGTGTTTTCGTCCGACGTTACTACTGATGTGTGTGCTATAATCATGTCGACTGGTTTGCCATATACTGAGAAATAACTATTTTACCGCGATAAAGTTATACGTCTTTTAGGCAATTATAAGCCTTGTTACACTGGCGGTTAAATGATCACTTTTTACCCAACTATGTGCCGTGTTACATATTATTTCCCTTTTTATAGGTACTCCGTATAATACGTATATTTACCGATTATATTATCTCCGATATGATCTCTTTAGCTCATCTGACGTAGTCAGATGCAGCTTGTAGAATCGCATGATCGTGCGTCCGTCCGTCCGTCCGTGCGTCAACAGTTGGGCACAAATCTTAACCGCTCGATGTACGGTCACGATATTTGGGACGTCGGGGGTAGATCGTCAAAAGGACTCGGGATGACAAATTTGGGGGTCAAGGGTCAAAGGTCAAGATGTGTAAACGGAGGGGGAATATTTCCCCCTTAACTTAAGGTATAGGAGGAAATACGGAATTGCTCTTAATATTCGGTGTATAGTGTGATGGGCAGGAAACCCATCACCAGTGCGAAATTGGAGGTCACAGGTCAAAGGGCAGTGGGGGAAAGGTCAGATATCAGACATTTTCTGAGGACATGGCCTAATGGACAGAGTGAAAAACTTTTTTGTTTCAGCCCTGACCTACCATTTTTATCACTTTATTGAAAGGATCATGAAATGTGCTTTCCACTGACGTGCGATGAGTAAGTGTCTGATAACCTTTTAACCCTCAAGAGGAGGGTTAAACATGGATTCCTGAACTGCCTCAATGACGTCACAGTGTTGTAATATTCATGGCACATCCATAATCTAGAAACCCAATAAGCCTGGATAGCCGAACGCATACAGCACAGGCGTCACGGCTCGAAGGTCGTTGTATCGAATCCCATCTGTTTTTTTATTATTTACCTGTTTTTTGTATTTTTCTATCTTTATCCATTTAACTATTTTTTTCCAATTAACGCAAATATTTACATTATTTACAACAATTTTTACAACATTTTTTTTTTAATAGGGTTAGGGTTAGTGTCACAATGCACCATAAAACAGGAGTTTCAGGCACGCGATTTGTATCAAGCAATGGTATTTGGGAGGTATGCAGAATGCAGAAGGTTGCTGAAATGATGTGTACACAACTGCGTATCTGCATATCTGCGCCTAACAAAGGTGTCACTACGCACGACTTAAATGTTACGTTTATAACCGTAGCAACAGACCTCATATGAGCTCAGACGCTTTGCGGCTCTTGTTACTCAATCAGAGGCCTTGCTACACATAATTTAACAGCAGATAAACTATTTTATCGCGGTTAAATTATCACATTTTACTTGACCGTAAGCATTGTTATATTTCTTTTACCCACGATTTATGTTAAGCAACCCGCTCCCGTTGATACGATTAGTGATATCTATGGTGATATGTAACACGTATACGGCTTTTGGTTGGGTAAAAATAATTTTTCCGCGGTTGAATTATGTGTAACAAAGCCTCTGATATATTAAGTAATTGATTTAAATTATAATTTAAGGTGAAGTTATTTCTACAACGGTGAAAATAATTATTTCTGAGTACCAGGTGGCCAACTTGCGTTTGCTCAGTGCTCTGGCTGCGTATGTTTCGCCGTTACGCACCGCCGCATGTATTGGATATAGACAGTTAGACACAGCTCTCTTTTACAGCCACGTCCGCTGTCAACGATTTACGCATTTATATATGCTATCATCATGCGGCTCAAAGTTTGTCCTACGCGAAAAACCTGTAATCTACAATTTAAATTCATGATTGTTTGCAAGCAATATGCTGCAATCAGGCCAGTGAAGCTCTTCGTAGCTTGGCACTATCGCGTGGCGGGACTGCCGAGTGACTGTTTATGAATGCGGCGCGTCTTTAGTTAAGCGCCATCTTTGATGCTGCGGCGGCAGAAATCATACTTCAATTTTTCGTTGACTAACAGACTCCTGATTGCGTTTACGGCGATCAAAGAAGAAATATTGTGTATTGGCTGCGAAACGGCGACTGGTTTATTTCGCTTCGTGTTTTCGCTCTAGGCCTCGCATAACGTGGCGGCGCGAAACAGTTAGGCGTACTCTTGTAAAAATTGTAAAAATTATTGCTACGATGTCGCCGCCGCACGGTAACTGGGTAACCTTACCGTGACGTTGAGCGGACTGCCGCAAGTTACGGACGTAGCGCATTCGTGCATGTGTGCGTGCGCGTGTGTTGGTGCGCGTGTGTTCGTGCGTGCGTGCGTCAGTGCGTGTGTATGTATGCGTGCGTGTGTATTTGTGCGTGCGTGTATGCGCGTATGTTGCTTCCGTGCGTGTGTGCATACGCGTGTGCTGTGTCTGTGAGACTGGATGCTATACTTACAAAACTAAATAACAAAACTAAATCTTCTCTTTACTAAATATTATTTGTCGCAAAATCGCCAAAAAGGTTTGCCAAACGGGTGCACTTACGTTAAAACGCAATGATAACAATAATGATTGATAAACGATAGATATACCATAATGCATTCAGGATATCTATGTGATAAACTAGTTCAGCTTACGTATATCGGCAGTAACGAGTGCTCCATGCAGTGACAATTATACATGTTTATATGCTGAGCACTAACGTTACAATCACATACCATATACTTAATAATAATATACTAATAATAGAGCCTCAAGGATCGATTATTATTATTATTATTATTATTATTATTATTATTGTTATTATTATAATTATCGTCACCATCATCTTTGTCGTCGTAATTATTATAATAATTATTATTATTATTAATTGTTACATATACAAATTGTACTAGCGTATTGAGAACACGAGATAAAATATTAAAAGGCATTAGGAGATATGACGTCATCAAGTTAAAGCATCGCTGCAATGGCAGTCTAGTGACCGAGAATTTTCTCGATGATTATGTTTTTTTGGATTCCCTAAAGCTATTAGATGCTGTATATATACTCTTACGTTCCATCTGGAGCTCTGATTACATTCTAGGCGGTTAGATAATGGGTTGTGGCGTTTGTACAGTTACGGAAGCATGATAATGCTGATGAACTCTAATGCTGAATCTAACGGAAGTTACGGAACAATCCTATACTGGTGTGTGAAACTATGTAACGGAAACATGGAGCAGCGGTGGAACGATGCGCTATATACCGGTATGTAAAACTATGTAACGGAAATATGGAACAAGGCTGTTACAACACTATACTTGTATGGAATTATGTAATGGAAATTGTAATGCAACATCGGCGGAACAACACGACACCGACAGCGGTGTCAATATATTTTCGTTTGTCTCCTGAATAGATTAGCTTTAAATAAATCATATATTTACATAACTAACAATCGATGAAGGTAGGCTATACTCTGCGCTCTGAATATGAATTGTCGTAAGGCAACATAAATAAATAGATTAAAAACTGTGGTAGTACCACTAGTAGCACACGTTATAGTAAAAGCAGCAACGAATGATATTCAATAGAAACGCCTCTCGCAACATATTCGCTCTTTCCATCTCCCAGTTAGCACCTCTCCTCCTCTCTGTCATTCGTCTCTCTCTCTCTCTCTCATCTCTCTCCTCCTCCCTCTACCTCCTCCTGCGTCTGCTCCTCTCTCTCTCTCTATCCTATTCTTCTCGCCTGCCTCTCTCTCTCTCTCTTTCTCTCAATATCCCCTCCTTCGACCCCCGTGCGTGTGTGTGTGTTGCTGTGTGTGGGTGTGTGTGGTGTGACGAGAGGGAGAGCTGGTGTGGTGTGTGCGTTGCGTGCGTTTCCGGCGCCGCGCGCCCTGGCCGCGCGCGCGCGGCGCGTGTGTGTGTGTGGTGTTGTGTGTGTGTCTCACTCCTTCGGCGTGCTATCTCACTCCCTCTATTTCGGCCTAGATTCCCCCACGTCTCTTTCTTCTCATGTCATGTGCGCGCTCTCGCTTCCTGTGTCTGTTTCGCTCCCTCTCCTTATATCTATGCCTCCTCTCTCTCACTATCCCTCTCCATCCCATCCTGCTCTCCTCCCCCTTGTTCCCCCCGCGTCTTCCTTTCTCTTTCGTCCCCCCTCCCCCCTTTCTACTCTTCCTTTCGACTCTCTTCCTCTCTCTCCGTAATCTCTCTCTCTCTCGCTTTCTTCCTTCCCTCCTCTCCCACTCTTGCTACCGTGCCCTTCTCTCGATCGTTTATCTACCACGACAGTTGTGTGTGTCTTCTACTTCCCGGGTTTACGGTTGTTTGTTGCCTAGCTACACGTGTAGCGAGCCTGACGCCGTGCCACAGCGCGAGAGCGTGGGGGGATGATGCGCGGGACGCACGATGTACTCGTGGGCGGTCCGGGACAGCGCCGGGTCGGCCGGCGCGGGGTCCGGCTGTGTGTGTCCGGCCGCCGCGCCGGGTGCGGGCCTGGCGCGTGCTAGGGCGCGGCCGCGTGGTTGGTTTGCCACGCGAGGATGGGATGTTTGGTCTGGTGTGAGTTCTGGTCTTGGTCTGGTGTGGTTTCTTCGTACGCGATTAGCGAACTGAATAATTTAGCCTGCCTTCGTCTACGGGGCGATCACAGTTATCACTGTTTACGGCCTGTAAAACGCTAAGTAGCATGAGTTCTTTCTCACATTCGTTAACGCATGCGCGCGCGCACGCACGCACGCGCTCGCAGCTGCTCGCACACACGTACACACCACGCCATCACACAACAGCAACAACACAACACACACGACAGCCACACACGCCGCGCGCGCGCGCGCACGCGCACACACCCACACACAGCCACACACCACACAACGCAGCTCACGCCCAACACACACACCGCCGCGCACACGAAACGTAAAGGTAGGCGCGCGCACACACACACACACACACACACACACACACACACACACACACACACACTCACGCACACGCATGCACACGCACGCACACGCACGCATGTACACACTCGCAAACGCAACCTATTTGCTTTTCCGTAGATATGTTGCATATTGCCCAAAACGTGACAACGCAAACAAAAATCGCAACACCCCCAATAATATTGTGTTACCAGTTTCACATCCTCGCCTTTCCGTCGCGGCGTGTTGTGAGAGAACGCACGCCACGCCATCTACCGGGGCGTCAGCGCCGCGTCAGGTAGTCCTCCAACGGATGCGCGAACGCTGCGCTCCCTAGCGAGCAGTCGCTGCAACAATTCCTCCAGCTGTTGGCTCTTCTCCGTTTTCACTCGTTTCGCCACGGCGTTCTCCTTGTCGATCGTGGCGCCCTCTGTTCTGCATTCCTCGTCTATAGTGCAGGTCTCTGTGGTGGGAACAAGTGAGTTAATCTTCGTGTTTTCCCACATGGTGATTTGTCCCCACCGTTAGCTCGTATACGACCTCTAGCTGGGAGTGGGGGTCGTGCGCATATCTCGTTGATGTGATTTCTATAGCCTGCGACACGTTTGCGGTTTTGAAGAAAAATTGTAAAGCGCCATATAAATTTGTTTTTTTAATTTTTTTTTTGGAGAGGGGTTTTGCCAGAGTGAAGGTATTCCTTCTTGGATAAATACACATTGTGCGTTAGAGAAAAACACTATTTTTTCGCAGCTTTCTGAATCGTCTTTAGTTGATCAGAAAACCTGACCTGCTACGACTAGAACTGTCGCGTGTGCTGCCCCTAGCGGCGAAGAGGTAGGTATGCGCCATGATCGAAACCTCACTGCAATACTCCCGCTAATGGTAAAGAATTCTGACATCCCACCCACCCAGTAATGCTGAACATACTCTTGCGCGTCCCTCATTGTAAACATACTCTAACACCCCACTCTGCCCCTCATTGTAAAAATACCTCCTAACACCTCACCCTGCCCCTCATGGTAAAAATATCCCGACACCACACCTTTCCCCTCATGGTAGAAATACCCCCAACACCCCACTCCCCCTTCATGGTAAAAATACCCTAATACTGTATGCCCCCCCCCCGTGGTTAAACATCCTGACACCCCACCCTTCCTGATGGAAAAGATCGTCTGCTCTTTCCCTCGTAGTCCAAGCAAATCCCAGGGCTCACCCTCCGCACTCTGTTAGCGCACGAGCTTGTGGTTTACATTTCTGACTCTCCCGTTCTGACGTCACGTACCTTCATTGCAGCAGATGCCGTCGGCACCACAGCGCCCCCTGCCGTCGGCACACGCTCTCCCGCGCACCTCGCACGGTATCGGTACGAGGTCTTCCTTTGCGCATGCAGCACTCTCCAAGGTGCGTATGTGACAGCCAATCAGCTCTCCGCAACAGATGTTTGGTCCGAAACACTGGCCGAGGTCTCCCGGGCCGCATTTCATGCACTGTCGGCATAGAACACGCTTGATATCAGAAATGATACTTGAATGGATTGCCAAAGTATGCGTCGAAATGTCAGGCCATGCTTGGTATATGGGTCCGGATTAGGGTCATGGTTAGGGGTAGAGTTAGGGTTGGGATCAAGGTTAGGGTTAGCGTTAGGGCTTCTGTTACGGTTACGGGTAGGATTAAGGTTAAGGTTAGGGTTAGGGTTAAAGTTAGGTTAAATGTTAAAGTTGCGTTGAATGTTAAAGTTAAGGTTAGGGTTAGCGTTATGGTTAGGGTTAGGGTTAGGGTTAAAGTTGGGTTGAAGGTTTAGGTTAAGGTTAGGGTTAGCGTTATGGTTAGGGTTAGGGTTAGGGTTAAAGTTGGGTTGAAGGTTTAGGTTAAGGTTAGGGTTAGCGTTATGGTTAGGGTTAGGAATATTGTTGGGGTTACACCAATACGCCCTGGTCCACGTGTTCCTACTTCTGTGACTGCAAGTAGCTAACACAGACATTGTTCCTACCTCTCTGACTGTTAGCTAACAAAGACATTTTCCCAACCTTTCTAACTCCTGCTAGCTAACACAGGCATTGTCCCTCCCTCGCTCACAGACAGCGTTCTTACCTGTCTCATCACTGTTAGCTAACACAGACAGCGTTCTTACCTGTCTCATCACTGTTAGCTAACACAGACAGCGGTTCTTACCTGTCTCATCACTGTTTAGCTAACCAGACAGCGTTCTTACTGGTCTCGGTCACTGTTTAGCTAACACAGACAGCGTTCTTAACTGTTCTATCACTGTAAGTAAACTGTCAGGACGTTTCTTACCTGTCTCATCACTGTTTAGCTAAACACTGGTCAGCGGTTTCTTACTCTTGTCTTCACTCACTGTTTAGTTAAGCGCAGGAAGCGTTCTTTACCGTGGTCTCATCACTGTTAGGCTAACCACAGACAGAAAAAAGTTTTACCTGTCTCATCACATGTTAGCGAACGACAGAACAGCGTTCTTAACTGTCTCAGTCATCTGCTTAGCTAACAAAACAAGACAGCGTTCTTACCTGTTCTCGTCACTGTTTAGTAAAACACAGACCGTCGTTCTTACGACTGCTCTCATGGTACTGTAGCTAACACAGACAGCGTTCTATACCTGTCTCATCACTGTTAGCTAACACAGACAGGTGCTACCGTTCCCACGGTTTTTTAGCTAAACAGACAGCGTTCTTACCGTGTCTCATCACTGTTATCTAACACAGATAGGTCTTACCTCGTCTCATCACTGTTTAGCTAAACACAGACAGCGTTCTTACCTGTCTCATCTACTGTAGCTAACACAGGGACAAGCGTTTCTTACCTGTCTCATCACTGCTTAGTAACGCAGACAGCGTTCTTACCGTGTTCTCATCACTGATTAGCTAACACAGACCGCGTTCTTAAACCTGTTCTGCATCACTGTTAGCTAAACACAGCAGCGTTCTTACTGTCTCATCACTGTGTAACGCTAACACAGGCAGCGTTCATTACAGCTCTCATCACTTAGCTAACACAGGACAGTCGTCTCTTACCTGTCTGTCACTGTTAGCTAACGCAGACAGCGTTCGATTAGACTGTCTCATCATGCTTAGCATAACAAAGACCGCGTTTTTACTCATGATAATCATTTACTGTTAATAGGCTAACCACAGACAGCGTTCTTACCTGTCTCATCACTGTTAGCTAACGCAGACAGCGTTCTTACCTGTCTCATTACTGTTAGCTAACACTGTCAGCGTTCTTACCTGTCTCATTACTGTTAGCTAACACAGTCAGCGTTCTTACCTGTTTCATCACTGTTAGCTAACACAGACAGCGTTCTTACCTGTCTCATCACTGTTAGCTAACACAGACAACGTTCTTACCTGTCTCATCAATGTTAGCTAACACAGACAGCGTTCTTACCTGTCTCGTCACTGTTAGCTAACACAGACAG